TATATCTTCTACAGGAAGAGATGGTCGTAACTATGGTTTACCAGGAAGACCAGGTAACAATGTCGTTCATATCAACTGAATTTCTCCTACATGCTTCGCGGCTCTCGATGCCTAAAGGTGACCAACATAATTGCGAGTGAATTTAGCGATTTTCTTTAACTCGCTCGTATCCCGTCAAAAACACTCAGATAATTCTGAATTAAGCACATGTAGTAATTCAAACATTTAGGCTTCTAACGTTGTATTCTAAACTTTATTTAAAAATTCTAAAAACTATCAATTGCAGGTAGTTGCGCGGTAAAATAGGCGCCGAAAAACTGAGCATAAAAATAATGCCTTTGATGGATTTTCTCCAAACAGAATAGATGCATATATGCATAGACGTTTAAGCTACTACATCCGCTAAATTCAGAAATATCCGAGGGAYGCAATACAAGCGAGTTAAAAAATTGCTAATTTCACTCGCAATTACGTTGGAGTCACCTTAAGGCTTTGAATCGTTCTCAAATAAACGGATTAAATATATTCATAATAAAATGTCGTCATTCTATAATGGTGTGTTTAAAAAAATATGACAAGTTTTTTTCATGTCTCTAGGTGCACCAGGTTTGAAAGGAGAGACAGGACATCAAGGTGTGAGAGGTCCACCAGGACCCAAGAGTGATGGAGTACAGTACGTACGATGGGGAAGAACCACCTGTCCTTCCGGTGCCTCTCTTGTTTACAAAGGTGAAAAAAGGAATGCAAAAATAATTTTAAAGTTTCTCACTTCCATTTATTACTGAGAAGTCAGTCATGGTTCATGTTTGTTCACAGGTCGTATCGGAGGCGAGAACTATCTTCATTCAGGCGGAGGTGCTAATTACGTGTGCCTTCCTGAGACCCCCAAATATGGAAGATACAAAGATGGTCACCAGGACGCTGGATACATGTATGGTACAGAATACGAAGTGAACATTTTCAATCCACTCACCAATGACCGCCTTCACAATCACGAGGCTCCATGTGCTGTGTGTTACGTTCAAGCACGAAGTGCCAAGATGATGATCCCTGCGACTTACGAGTGTCCCGCGGGATGGACAAGAGAGTACCATGGATACCTGATGACTGAACGGCACAACCATAAAGCAAAATCACAATTTATATGTGTTGATCAAGATGCAGAGGGTGTACCAGGAACCCATGCCAACCTCGATGGTGCCTTGTTGTATCCCGTGGAAGGAAGGTGTGGTTCTCTTCCTTGTCTTCCATATGTTGACGGACGAGAACTGACATGCGCAGTGTGTACCAAGTAAAAAGAAACACGTAATAATAATACTTTATTCAAAAAAATGCAGATTACATATTTTGAAAAGGAAGACATTGAGGTTAGCCCTATATAAGTCCCCACGTCACATGGAAACCCTTCATAGATTTAATTACGTAAAAGTGAGGCTAATATAATCCAATAAGTTCATTAATTTGAAACAGCATACAATAAAGAGTTGTTGTTCGTAGTATATTGTGGTTCAATTAACTAGACGATGACTGCGTTCAGTCGTACTTCCTGTGATAAAATTTGAGACAAGTACTATGGAAGACAGATTTCCCATACCACACATTTGAGGAAAAAAGATGTAAGACGAATTGAACGGAGACTTTTCGGAGAAGTGAGAGACTTCTTTCGTAAATCGGCGACACAGAGTGCATCCCCCTTTCCCCCCTTCTGACGAATTCCCCC